CTGGCCGGGGCCCTTCCCGGCGCTGAGGCGGCGGCTTCCCCGCAGGCAGCACGCCGCTGGGCTGCTACAGGAAGCTGGTGGAGTACTGCCGGAACGGGGACCTCTCCTTCCAGTACGTGAAAACCTTCAACATGGACGAGTACGTGGGTGAGTGAGGAGTGTTGGGCTGCCAGTACCTGCTGTGGCGCGTGTGACCCGGCTCGGTGCAGCCGGGGTGCTCAGCAGGCCGCAGCCGGGCAGGCTCCTCGGCGCGTGGTGGGTGCAGAAAATGCCACCTGCAGAGGGTTCGAGGAAGGAGAGACCACGTGTGTGCCAAAGGAGCCAACAGGATCAATTTGAAAACCTGTATGAGAAATATTAAAGAGTATCAGGTCTCCCCTGGTGTTAACACGCACAAGGCGCTGCTGTGTTTCACCTGAGCTGGCTGTTGACCAGCTGAGGATCCATCTTCCCACTGCAGGCCGAGATAAAACTGCGCTGTTAACTGCCACCTTTGCTCTGGGATTACAAAGGTCACTTTGGCTCCAGGTCTCTCACAAGGGCCGATGTGCAAAGCGCCCGAGTGCCCCTCTAACTGATGGGGTGCTCCTGTTAAGATTGCAGAGGACTGTTGCGTTTGTGAAGCTGTGATGAAACGGCCTTTTCAGAAGAAAGAGCACAGAGATGGGTGGGCAAGCCTAAAACTCCAGAGGTTAAAAACGTGCAGACTAAATATTTGCTGATTTTATCTGGTCAATAAGTTCTGTGTGAACAGTCCTAATCAAGTAGCATTGGGGAATAGGCAGTGCAGTGTGGGCTTGTAGCATTCGGGGGGAGGAAATGTATGCGGTAAGACGTTTCCTGGGCTTCTGCACAGTTTCTTCATTGTCTTTGCTAGTGCCAGCTGGGAGGAAGGCTGAAAAGGTAGTAACAGATGAGGCACAGAACGTGCCTGCTTTTCTGGAACATCTGTTGCATGTTAATACAAGCACATTTTACATGAGCTATTGTGATTGATTTTAATTTTGCTGTTTAGGGAAATACAAGCAACTCATGAAAGTTGAGGGAGTCATAAATGACAGACCGAGAAAGCAGTGCTCTGTCACCAAAGCCACTGCAGGGGCGTACGGGTGGGTTATGTTCTGGATGATATTCTTTCAGCGGGTTTTAGCATGTTCTGTTACCAGGTCTCCCAAGGGATCACCCAGAAAGTTACCATTCCTTCATGTGGAATAACTTCTTCAAGCACATTGACATCCTGGCAGAAAACGTTCACATTTTGGATGGGAACGCACCTGATCTGCAGGCAGAGTGTGAAGCGTTTGAGGATAAAATCAAAGCAGCTGGAGGAATTGAACTCTTTGTTGGAGGTGAGAACCCACAGGCCTTTCAGCGCTGGCAGGAAGCACTGCCTTTCCTCCACCAGCCATCATTTATTATCCACAGGGTTCTTTTAAAATGCAGTTTGGTGGATTTGCAGTGAAAATCCACCACCCATATGCCACTGCCCTGGGTGCTTATGTGTGCTGGCAGCCTTGTCGTCTGGTGTACACCCCCCCAGTTTAAGTATTTCAGTCCAGTAAGTGAATTGTTGAGGAAACGATTAGCAGGAACTTTTCCCATTGGCTTGCCTTAAGTTTCTGCTCTCTGCTTGTTGTCCCAGCACAGTTAGGGAAGAGTCTTCTTGACTTCAGAGAGGGCTTTTGGTATCGTTCTACCAGAAGCCAATTTAAACTTGAGCAGAAAAATAATGTTTTTCTCAGATCTGCATCTATTCGTGGAAGCACTGAATGTCCTTCCAACAGGAGTGCTGTTGGCTGTCCTGCAATGACCGTTACAGCCACTGATCTACTTTCAAACTCTGTCACAGGTATTGGCCCAGACGGTCACATTGCCTTCAACGAGCCTGGATCAAGCCTGGTATCCAGGACGCGAGTGAAGACCTTGGCTATGGACACTATATTGGCTAATGCCAGGTTCTTTGATGGTGACCTCTCCAAAGTCCCCACAATGGCTCTGACGGTTGGAGTAGGCACTGTCATGGATGCCAGAGAGGTGAGGAGACGGTAGCTTTGAGCAGGGCTTCCGGGAGTAGCTGAAGGTTACCCGGGCTTGGAGCAGCAATGCACCCTGCTGGTGTAGGACAGCTTCTGCTTTTCCTGCCATGGCAGCCCAGGACTTGATCCTCCTGCTGTCATGCATCCTGCAACATTGTGGAAAGACTCTTACTCTACTAACGCAAACGTGTGTGTAACACTGCAGTACAGTCATTATCCGCGGAGAGCTGGATAGGTTTGGGGGTGTCTTTGGTTAAGAATCTCATCTGGGGAAATAACTGCAAGAATCACTGACTGACTTGATGTTACACCATGAAAAGCATATGGGATAGCTTTTAATTGAGCCTGTACCTTGATTTAGGAGCTCGGAGGGTCTGAATTGTTAAAAAGACCCAGCAGGCTATGGTTTAACTGACAGATAAAATGCAGGCAGAGCAAACAGAACTGTGGTATGGCGAAGTGCCTCTGCAGAGGATGATGGAGAGGTTGTCCTGTTAGGGCCGAGTTTCAGCAGGGTGTAGGTGTGCTCTCCCTGATTCCTAACTGCCATCCTCTCTGTCTCGGAGTCCAGGTGATGATTCTTATCACGGGAGCCCACAAAGCCTTCGCTTTGTACAAGGCCATCGAAGAAGGCATCAACCACATGTGGACAGTATCTGCTTTCCAGCAACACCCCAACACTGTCTTCGTGTGCGATGAGGATGCCACGCTGGAACTCAAAGTTAAGACAGTGAAATACTTCAAAGGTGGGGGTTTGAACAGACCAAGCAGCTGCTGAACTTGGTTGTTAAGTGGCACAAGCCATGCTTTGCATTAGGTGTTTCTGCTCTCTCGCCTCCCAGAGGAGCACATTCCCTACCTAGAATGGTCAAGATGTACCCCGTACCACTTTAACCGACAGTAAAAGTGCTAAGGGAATGCTTAACCCTGTGGGCATGGGAACAAAGGAACAAGCCCCCTAGTAATGCCCAATTCCATTAGCAGCCGATGAATGAGAATTTTGATTTATATCTGCCTAAGTCATGTGTTTACTTGGTCCCTCAGGTTTAATGCTGGTTCACAACAAGCTCGTGGAACCCTTATACAGCATGAAGGAGACGGGAGCAGAAAGAGGCCAGTCTAAAAAGCCATACAGCGACTGATCTGGCTGTTCAGAGTCATGCTGATCCAGCTTTTCCATTGAAAACCAGCTGTGGAAAAAAAAAAAGCGAATTACTGCAGAAACTCATCTCAGCTTTGTTTTTAAATTAGCAAAATGATTATGTGCTTGCTTCTCTCCATTAAAAAAACAGATGCCAAACATCTGCCTTAATTAACCCAACGATGGGATCCAGCGTACTGCGTTCCACAAACCTCCGCCACTTGCTTATTCTCTGGAGGTGGAGTCGATGGAGAACGAGCTGTTGGCGGTCTGCAAAGTGCCTGTAACCGCGGACTGAAGGCCCCAAAACCTCACTGTGAAAATGTGGGTAAACACAGTGTCGCAGGAACCAAACGGGTAGTCGCTTTGGGCTGTATTCCTTGCAGTTGGGACAAGGACCTTGTGTGTCATTCCCTTCCACAACTCTCCCTTACGGTACCGGCATTTAAAGGGGAACTGGGCTAATTCGGCCTGGAGGAGGGAAGGGGAAGGGTTCAGCGTGGCCGACAAGCCACGTGCTTTGCCGTGCGGAGGAGGTCAAGGGGAGGAAGCCAGGCTCTCCTGGGGGGAAGATGAGAAGAGCCAATGAGGCTTGAGTTGAGACAAGATGCTCCGGCTGGATACACGGAACAACCCTTCCCACAAGGACAGCCAAGCCGTGCACCCAGAGGTGCAGTCTCTGTCCTCAGGAGGTTTTCAAGACCTGACTGGATAAAGCCCTGGCTGAGCCCTGCTTTGAGCCAGATGTTGGACTTGCTGTACCATTCATGTAGGTTACGGTTAGATGACGCATCTGTGTGATTTTACTTGCCGTCACGCGAGAAAGCCTTATGTGTTCAGTTCCAGGGTCTAATTTCCCATGCCCTGGTGCTTCGTGATGTACTACAGGAGGGCAGGGTAGTTCAGATGATGCATAAATGACTTCTCTCTGTGCTGCTCAGCACCCTGTTATTTGTGTGAGTGCACAGCCCGAAGCAGTGAGGAGGTTTTCCTCCCTTCCAGTGCTTTACATGGCTACAAGGAAATGCCAGAGAAGCCTCAAAGGAAATGCTGTTCCCTCTGCCTTCAGCCTGTGTTTAGTTAAGAGAAGCCCCACAGAGGTAAGTGACAGCCTGGACAGGCAAGACCCCACCACCTCTCAACCTTGATTCCAGGGTTCCCTGTCAAATGCCATCACGTGACAAACTGGGGAGTGTCGATTTTCTTTATGCAGCGACTTTCTAAGCTGTTGATCTGTAATGGAACTTTCTACAGTAAAGGTCTTAATTTTTCTAAACGGTCCCACTGGTGCTCAGACTCGCTGTGCTCGTGGTATGTGGAGCAGTTAGGTGGCTCAACAGGACTTAGTAATCCCTCTGAACAGAACAGAACCTTCAGAGCACGAGAAAGAGCTGTTAGTTTGCACAAGACCCCCGTCATCTAGGGTCAAAGCTGCAGTGGAAGGAGCTCGGTAGAAACAGGCACTGCTGCTCCCTGCCGTGCCGTGTTTGCGGGCAGGTTTCCACCGCCCACCCGCTACCCTTCTGTCCTGCCGAGCAGCAGCCGCTTCGTGCAGAAAAGCAGAGATCTCTAAAGGAGAAAGGAGGTCAAGCTCTCTCCCCCGTACCACACAGCGCCTGCAAACCACCCTGCGCTCCTGGGCGTGCACAGAAGGAGAGAATGGGGGGTTTGCGAGAGGGGAAATAAAAAAGCTCCCAAAGATACTGTGCCACATTGCCAGAGCTGGCTGCCTTGCTCCCCGTCCTTGTTCTGGTTTTAGCTGGCCTGATTGTAGTCACCCGCCTGGGCCCTCCCTGGAGGGTCTGTCCTCCTGTGCCTCGCTGCAGAACAGGGGAGCTCCGGCCCAGGGGTCCCCGAGTGCCCGGAACTCACAGACAGGGCGCTGACTGCATCATCCTCTCTCCACGTGTCCTCGAGCATGGAGGCAGTTCATTGCAGCATCTCTGCGTGCTTCACCGCAGCGCTCGTGGCAGGTGTCCCCAGCCAAGGCTTTTCAGCCCCACACGGCCTTTGGCATCCAGGCCCTGCCCTCAGCCGCCGCCATCCTGGCAGGAGGGACTCTGCCTCTGTCAGGTTTGGAATCCAACGCCACTTCCTCCATCCAGGCAGGAAAATGGGGGTTAAGCACGTGCTGCTCTTTGTCACAAGCATTCCTCATACGCAGCTTAGCGGGAAGAAAGCCCCTTCCGAAAGCAGGCAGCGTTTGGATCAGCCTGTGGAGTTAAAACTGTGACCAGAGTGGAAACTCCCTTGGGGACTGCAGGGAAAGCGGGCTCTGTCCGACGCAGAGTTCCCAACGTAGCGTCAGGGTCTGTCGGTTAGGGGCTTGCGCCTCCCAGGGAAAACCCGGGCTCATGGGGTGCGAGCACTTCCCACACGCAAGCCTCCGAACTCTCGTGAGCAGAGCACATCCTGCGACAGCCGCACGGTCTGGTGCGTGTCGTTGCGCAGCCGACCCCACGAGCGAGGGCCTCGGCGCACGGGCGCTGGAGCCGATCGCCACCCGGAACCGGGCTCTGTCCCACACTGACCTGCGCTCCACAGACACCATAAGGAAGAGCAGGAGGGAGACAACAGTGGTTACTGTCTTAAAGTGAGTTTAGTGCACGTGAGAGATGCAGGAAATACAATTTAAACCGTACACAGTGTAAACCTGCCCTGCACACTGTCCTGTGACCCAAACCAAGACGAGATACCCACTCTTACCCTCTCATCTTTTTAATCACTGCCCCTTCTAACAGTACAGACCTTCATCCTCTGCCAAAGGAACTAAATCAGCACTCGCTTTGGCCAGATACCTATGTTTAATTACCATCAGACAAAACCGAGTGGGAGGTGTTCACCTTGTGTTTCTGAAGAGTCATCAGTTCCTGAGCTATCCCTCTGGACCCTGCTATTTGTTTTGAACACAGCACATGCAGTTTTAATTCAAAAATAAATGTTTAGACCCTTGTGCAAGTGGAAAAAATGTCTAAAAAAATGAGTGGTTCCCTCCAGTAATTACTTGCATGTTCACAAAACTATTTACTGAGCTTTTGGTTTTTGAAGAGCAAGAAGAGTGGAAATAAGGGATTTACTCCAGAAGCAAAACTATCAATTAATCAAATTTCTTATATGAAGAGTTAGTAAAAAATAAATTAGTTAATTATCTGAGAAGGTAGTTTTCAGTATCTTGAAGAATTCATCTTAATCTCTACTATGTGTCCACAAAAATGTGTTTTGATACCTGACTGACACTTTTCACTCACTGGCCACACTGCAGTTCACTGCCTTCGCACTCGGGGCTGTCAGAGCGAGGGAATGCAACAGCAACACTGGGCTGAGTCACCAGACTTCAAATTCCTAGAAAGGGCTGTTGGTTATTTTCTGCCAAAGCATCCAGTGATGCCAAGACCCAGGTACGGAGGGGTTTAGGGACGATCAACTTCAGAGATCTAAAAATTTAGATTTACAGAGCTGCTTTAGAGAAGCGCGTCAGGAAATGC